TGTGATCCTATCATTCTACTTAATCTAAGATTTTTAATTTTGGAAATACGCCCTTCGACGTTAAAAGGATCTTTCATTTCCAATTTCTCATGAGATTCAGTTTTGGCTTCCAACGTCGACGTGTCAACGATGAGGTAAGCACAACGGTCCAATAATTACACTCTATGACCTCTGTAGACTTAAAAGACAAATTAAGTCCGAATTTAATGGAGTCAGCTCCGTAGACTGAGGTTTACGCCACTTATGGAAAATCACTTCGGGTCATAAATGATGACCATCAAATTTGAGAATTTTTTTTTACATCAATTAGGACCATCAGTTAAGACCTTGCATTTGGAAATCAAAGTTAAGTATTAATTCAGACCATCAATTGCGACCGTCAATTTCAACAATCATTTTTTACCATCATCTTGGATAATTAATGTTGAAAATCAATTTTAGTATCAATGTGGACCATCCTTTTGGACCATAAATTCGTTTCCCCCTTTATCTATACCAATTACGTACTATCACAATGCCCAAACCATACATCTGAGCCACTAACATCACAACCGCATTCCACAACACTCAAAACCCTACCCTCCTCCCTTTCCACATCCCTGTCGCCCTTACAATGACCAGTGCTATCCCCTTTACTCCTCCACAACCCAAAGCGTACATCCCCACTGTACACCAACAATCATACATGAGAACAGTTTACTTAATGTCCCTTAATAATTTGTTTGTGTTTTGTTTTTTGTGTTTTGGTGATGAGAGTATTTGTGCAACTGTTGCTATGCTTTTTGTATTTTGTGACGTATTTGGGTATTGGAGATGACATTGTTGGTTGTTATGGTTTTGTAGTAGTTATGGAGTTGCAGAGAGAAAGCGGTTGAAAGAAGACACGCTGTTTTTTTCAATAAAGAACCATATGTCATATAAATAGTTGATTTGTTGCACAATTATACATGAACGTAACCAAGCCATTGAACTGCTTATCCCCTATTAGGAATTTGTAACATAAATTGTTTACATTACTTGCATTAAGTGACATAACATAATATAAAATCAAGAGGAAAAAACAAAATGAAGTAACGTGATTGCAAAATTTTTAAATAGTCAAGGGAATTTAAAAAAAAAAAATTAAAATATTTTTAACAACTTTTTTTTAAAAAAAAGACGTTCTATCAAAGACGTTCTATCAAAGACGTTCTATCAAAGACGTTCTATCAAAGACGAGTTCAAACTCATTGAAATTAGAAAATAATTTACATTTCTTAAAATGTATTAGGCACAGTAAGACTGTGACGAAGTGTGGTGAGTGAAAGGATTGAATCTGAATAGAGAAGAAACTTAACCACGTTTAATTTTTTTTTATTAATTTGTGGCTAATATATCTGCACATACTTTCTTAGGTAATGTATTTTAAGAAATTTTAAATTACTTTTTACATTTTGATAGAAATTGTGTGTTTTTTTTTTCAATATTCCTTATTTCCTACTTGGATGATTTAAAATTTTAATCAGTGTTTGATCGACAAAGAAGTATTATTTTATTTTATTTTTACTCCCCCAAAATCCGACACGTCTCATATGAGCGCCCTATCCTCCATTCTACAGTCGTTCACTGAACGAAGGTGACGCGATGTTGACACAACTTCGATGTTTGCAAATGAGAGAAAATGTAACGTGTGTAAACAAAAAATGAGTATAGACCAGGCCTGCACAACTCAAAATGTGAGGCAGACCGTAATACATTATGAAAAACTTGTGCGGGCCAAAAGAAAATAGGACAGAAATGCGCGGGCCAAAAGCATATAGGTGTGTAAAAGGGGGGGGGGGCTTATAAGAAAATAATAAGAATAAAGAGATTTTCGTTAACTCGCAGGCCACAAAATGGGTGCTGGTGGGCCATATGCGGCCCGCGGGTCGTATGTTGTGCAGGCCTGGTATAGACAAACAAGAGGAAAATGCGAGGAGAATAAAAGTATTTAATTTTTAAAAAAGTCTTGAGGGATGTCGAGAGTTCCAACCTAGCAACGCTCACATACATTCCGCCTCGTCGGCCATTGCATAGCGAGGTTTTTCTACAAAATGTGCCACCCCCTCCGCACCTCCCTTATTATGTCAGTGTTCTAAAAGTGACTAACCTCCTCGCAGGATTATCCACAAAAAGTTTGAAGCAAATGCAACATATTTTTAATGAAATAATTGAAGATCTTTTCAAAATCAGAGATAGTATATAAATCTATCAATTGGAATTTACACCGCTTTCAAGTTGAAGGTGGGTCTACAATAATTTAAGATATGTCCCTAGTGGGCGTGTACAATTACAGGTACGGATCAATCATTTTCTGTTAAATTTAGAAAAAAAAATTGAAAATAAAATAATAAAAATAAAATATAATTTTTGAAACAAACAAAAAAAAAAAATAATAATAATAATAATTTTTGAAACAACTTTATGAAAATGTAGAAAAAATATATATTACAAAATGACGACTGGTCATTTGACTTTTGAGCACTTTCTATAATATAACTGGAATTAATTCTAATATATAACAGTAACAGTTATTTTATATTACAAAATAACAAAGGAACACCACTGTGGTGATCTCTCGTATGAGATCTCCTCTTGGCACTCTGTCTAGGGATTCGTTATTTAAGCCAAATTACCACACAGACATAACAACCTATCTATATACATATAGTATAGACTGAATCGAAGTCTTAGTTAAAGGAGAAATTAACTACAAATATTTATTGAATAATAATATTTACAATTTCTCCGTGGTACACTCTTGGTGAGTATATATATATATCAAATGGATGTCATACAATCATAAATGCATATCAACGAAATACAAGTGTCCCTAACATACTGACAGTGTCATCCTTATTAATGCTTTTCTGTTCAAGGTTTTATGTTCAATCTTTGTAGACTTAACCTTTATATTTTCACTGAGGATCTTGGTGGATCACAAAATGTGGGAGTTGCTTCTGTCACAGAAGCGTGTCCCTGTTCCGGTCTTCGGAGCCGTGCCAAGTGTAGCGAAGTCGGAGTTCCCGGTCGTAGGATAAATCGTGGTAGTAAGAGTCCCTGGATCTCGAAGTTTTTCTAGTAGCTGTCAGGTAGTTTGGTGTAGGACGTAAATCAATCCCCTAGTTCCAGCTTCAATGTCGGTTGATCCAGTAATAAAAACCAGGCTAAAGGAAAAATGATACAAAATGGATAAATATCTAGGCGAATAGACATAAGCTGATAAGTCCCGTTCCAACAGCAACGAATTCAGATCGATATATGGGTGACATAACTTGTACATATACATCCTATTTGTGGATAAATGTGTAAGTCTTTGTCATTGTCGGCGTAAGCATATGTTGCTTCGCGACAATGTTGGACCAAGCAAACATTTTAATTAATGAAGTATGGGACATTGTATCATTAACAAACATTAAAATTATAGGTTCATATTATGCATAGTGTCTTATCGTTAAAAGAGACATGGGCGAGTTGGAACAACAACCTACCATCCCCATGATGGGATGGCGGCGTGTCGTAGCCCGCGGCAAAGGCAATATTATCATGCATAATGCATATCAATCACGATCGAATCCTTGCTACATAATTATATGAACATTACAAGTGCAATAACATTATATCAAAATCATGGTTGCGTACTTACTAGTATTCTAGGTTGCAGTCGCAGTTAATGATCACGCAATAAAGTCTTACGTGTAGTTACCCCAGCGTTCAGAGTCCAGTGATAAGATCATAAAAGACAGAGTCTAATCTGTTCTGGGTATTTATTTAAATTGGGGGATGATTTAATTGGGTGGTTTTAAAGTTGTTCTCCCTTTCAATTATAATCACTTTTAATGTTTTGGGATTGACTTTCTATTCTCCAAGTTTATTGGTGTGAGGGGGAGAATGCAAAATCACGCTTTTGCGCGAGCTGTCTAGCGTAGGAATGCGAGGGAAATAACTCAGGTTTTCTACTTCAAGGGCAAAACTGAGGGAAGAATTGGTAATATTTTACAAGGGGTTTACAAGGGCGGGTTTTCGGTGGTAGCATTTAACAATGCCCAGCCTCAAATCATCACAACCACATGGCATGGTTGTACAAAAGACATACAACATGGCATGATTGTACCAAAGACAAACTACAAGGCATGGTCATATAAAAGACATACAACATGGCATGATTGTACCAAAGACACACTACAAGGCATGGTCATATAAAAGACATACAACATGGCATGGTTGTACCAAAGACACACTACAAGGCATGGTCATATAAAAGACATACAACATGGCATGGTTGTACCAAAGACACACTACAAGGCATGGTCATATAAAAGACATACAACATGGCATGATTGTACCAAAGACACACTACAAGGCAGGGTCATATAAAAGACATACAACATGGCATGATTGTACCAAAGACACACTACAAGGCATGGTCATATAAAAGACATACAACATGGCATGGTGTACCAAAGACACACTACAAGGCATGGTCATATAAAAGACATACAACATGGCATGATTGTGCCAAAGACACACTACAAGGCATGGTCATATAAAAGACATACACCATGGCATGATTGTACCAATGACATACTACAAGGCATGGTCATATAAAAGACATACAACATGGCATTATTGTACCAAAGACACACTACAAGGCATGTCATATAAAAGACATACAACATGGCATGGTTGTACCAAAGACATACAACATGGCATGATTGTACCAAAGACATACAACATGGCATTATTGTACCAAAGACACACTACAAGGCATGTCATATAAATGACATACAACATGGCATGGTTGTACCAAAGACATACAACATGGCATGATTGTACCAAAGACACACTACAAGGCATGTTCATATAAAAGACATACAACATTGCATGGTTGTACCAAAGACACACTACAAGGCATGGTCATATAAAAGACATACAACATGGCATGATTGTACCAAAGACACATCACATGGCATGATTCTACCAAAGACACACCACATGGCATGATTGTACCAAGACAACCTCATGGCGTGTTTATATCAAAAAAACACCACATGGCATGATTGCATCAAAGACACAACACATGGCATGGTTATATAAAAGACACACCCCAAGGCATGGTTATACCAAAGACACACCACATGGGATGGTTGTACCAAAGACACACCACAAGGCATTATTTTACCAAAGACACACCAAGTGGCATGGTTAATCAAAGACACACCAAATGACATAATTTTACCAAAGACACACCACATGTTATGATAATTACAAAGACACACCACATTGTATGATTATTACAAAGACACACCACATGGCATGGTTATCAAAGACACACCACATGGGATGATTATACAAAAGACACACCACATGGCATGCTTATTACAAAGACACACCACATGTCATGATAATCAAGACACACCCCATGGGATGAATATATCAAAGACATTGGCATTGTTAAAAGGAAAGTCACACCACAAGGTATTAATAGAACAAAGAAATATCACATAGCATGGTTATACCAAAGACACACCACATGGAATGGTTGTACCAAAGACACACCACATGGAATGGTTGTACCAAAGACACACCACGTGGCATGGCTATTACAAAGACTCACCACATGACATTGTTAAAACGAAAGACACACCACATGGCAGGGTTATAACAAAGACACATCACATGGTTATAACAAAGACACACCACATAACTATAACAAAGACACACCACATGGCTATAACAAAGACACACCACATGGCTATAACAAAGACACACCACATGGTATGATTATAACAAAGACACACCACATGGTATGATTATAAAAAAGACACCCCATGGTATGATTATAACAAAGACACAACACATGGTATGATTATATCAAAGACACACCACATGGTATGATTATAAAAAAGACACCACATGGTATGATTATAGCAAAGACACACCACATCGTATGATTATAACAAAGACACATCACATGGCATTGTAACAACAAAAAGATTTGTTGGCGCCTAATTCATCCAATATTTATTATCATTCTCTTTTGGAACAAGAATCCCACCAATAACCATAACTAATAAAATAGTAAAAATATATTTAAAAAATCGTGATCTACTTAATTGTAAAGTTTCTAGTAAAATTGTGCCATGTAAAAAGAAAAGTCTCAAAATATGTTCTTTACAATTCAATTGATGATTTCAGCCTGAATGACAGTATTGCAAATCGTTTGAACTTTGAACCTGGCTTCAATTAGTTTGTAAAATATTTGACTGGTTAAATGACTTGAATACTGGCGATACTTTTGATCATGATATTTTTGATACAACTTTTCATGAACGGAATCTCATCAAAAGTCATAGATTTATGCAACTACTGTCAGCTTTATAGTCCACTATTGCATTGAATCCCAGTAGACAGCCAAAGCTGTGGAAACATCTGAGCCTTTAAGTTGAGCTGATCGCTGATTTACGCAGTCCTTAACGCACAGGTATTAGATTTAAGTTCCTGGGGTGAAAAACGGACGCAACATTGTCACACTTTGTCACGCTTGATTTTTTTATACCTTTAAATAAATCTCTACAAAGTCAACTCATATAAAATGTATCGACTTGTTAGTTCAATAGAAAAGTTGTTAGTCTTTTAGTGTGGAGGTAGGTTGATCTATTTATAATTCTTTACATGGGTCATGGCATATGAATCTTGGTCTGTCAGATATGGAGAGTTATGAGGACAGATCTCGTCTCGACGGCGTACACAAACTATGAGCACCACAATGAGCAGGAGGCCAGCAAGACAAGAGAAGACTGCTATGATGGCTATGGTTGTTGTGCTCATGCTTCCTGTGTTGGCAGAACTGTGTGCTCTCCCTTGAGTCACCCTCTGGGGCGTATGTGTTGTCCTCTGTGGGGGTGGCTTTGGTGTGGCTGGCCTTAGTGTGATTGGCTTTGGTGTGGCTGGTTTTGGTGTGGCTGGCTTTGGTGTGGTTGGCTTTGGTGTGGCTGGCTTTGGTGTGGTTCGCTTTGGTGTGGCTGGCCTGGGGTGAGTGGCGTAACCACCAGGGGTTCTTTGTGTGATAAAGTGAGCTGTGGTCGCCTTTGATGTTCCTGGTGGGGGCTGAGTGATGATACCAACAGGGGTTTTCGTTGTGATATAGTGAGCTGTTGTTGGCTTTGGTGAAGCTTTTGAAACATCATTTACAATAGTGACATTCGTTGGAGCTGAAAAAAGGAATCAATTTACGTCTTTAAAAACAAATAATTTTAACGGCACATTTTGAGTTGAAAATTAAGTTCATGTATCTTGAAACGAATTGAATATTTCATCATTACACGCCATATTTAAGAGAAATTCTTGATCAATGTTGTGAAAGTAGTTATTTAAATACTGCGGAGACTCTGTTTAAGGCGTGTACAGCCAAGTCAATATTCCAATGAAGCTTACTTATGCATCTTGTTTCTAATATTGCCTTCAATATTCCAATGAAGCTTACTTATGCATCGTGTTTCTAATATTGCCTTCAATATTCTAATGAAGCTTACTTATGCATCTTGTTTCTAATATTGCCTTCAATATTCCAATGAAGCTTACTTATGCATCTTGTTTCTAATATTGCCTTCAATATTCCAATGAAGCTTACTTATGCATCTTGTTTCTAATATTGCCTTCACTATTCCAATCAAGCTTACTTATGCATTTTGTTTCTAATATTGCCTTCAATATTCCAATGAAGCTTACTTATGCATCTTGTTTCTAATATTGCCTTCAATATTCCAATCAAGCTTACTTATGCATCTTGTTTCTAATATTGCCTTCAATATTCCAATGAAGCTTACTTATGCATTTTGTTTCTAATATTGCCTTCAATATTCCAATGAAGCTTACTTATGCATCTTGTTTCTAATATTGCCTTCACTATTCCAATCAAGCTTACTTATGCATTTTGTTTCTAATATTGCCTTCAATATTCCAATGAAGCTTACTTATGCATTTTGTTTCTAATATTGCCTTCAATATTCCAATCAAGCTTACTTATGCATTTTGTTTCTAATAGTGCCTTCAATATTCCAATGAAGCTTACTTATGCATCTTGTTTCTAATATTGCCTTCAATATTCCAATGAAGCTTACTTATGCATCTTGTTTCTAATATTGCCTTCAATATTCCAATGAAGCTTACTTATGCATCTTGTTTCTAATATTGCCTTCAATATTCCAATCATGCTTACTTATGCATCTTGTTTCTAATATTGCCTTCAATATTCCAATCAAGCTTACTTATGCATCTTGTTTCTAATATTGCCTTCAATATTCCAATGAAGCTTACTTATGCATCTTGTTTCTAATATTGCCTTCAATATTCCAATGAAGCTTACTTATGCATCTTGTTTCTAATATTGCCTTCAATATTTTAATGAAACTGTTACTGGAGATAATATAAAGTAGTAACATTTACTCCACCACAAAATATTGCTATATGTAAAGATTTTGATTAAAGAATTGGAATCTAATTATTGTACACACAATTTTTTTACCCGTAAGATCATACGAGAGACTGATATTATCTAAGGCGATCAAGGATGATCCATTTGCATCAACAGAACATGAGAATTTCAGCTGTGGAAAAACGATGATAAATGCCATGATAAAATTATAAATACTGAAATGTATTGCACTGAGTACTGTACGTTTTATCGGCATATTCAACTTTGTAACCATTGATGTAGTAGATGTGATGTAAGTGGTGAGTAGATGTGATGTAAGTGGTGAGTAGATGTGATGTAAGTGGTGAATAGGTGTGATGCAAGTGGTGAGTAGATGTGATTTAAGTGGTGAGTTGGTGTGATGTAAGTGGTGAGTAAATGTGATGTAAGTGGTGAGTAGGTGTGATGCAAGTGGTGAGTAGATGTGATGTAAGTGGTGAATAGGTGTGATTAAGTGGTGAGTAGATGTGATGTAAGTGGTGAGTAGGTGTGATGTAAGTGGTGAGTATATTTGATGTAAGTGGTGAATAGGTGTGATTAAGTGGTGAATAGATGTGATGTAAGTGGTGATTAGATGTGATTAAGTGGTGAATAGATGTGATGTTAAGTGGTGATTAGATCTGATGTAAGTGTTGAGTAGATGTGATTAAGTGGTCAGTAGATGTGATGTAAGTGGGGAGTAAATGTGATGTAAAGGATAAGTAGATTTAATGTAAGTGATGAGTAGGTGTGATGTAAGTGGTGATTAGATGTGATGTAAGTGGTGATTAGATGTGATTAAGTGGTGAGTAGATGTGATGTAAGTGGTGATTAGATGTGATTAAGTGGTGATTAGATGTGATTAAGTGGTGAGTATATGTGATGTAAGTGGTGATTAGATATGATTAAGTGGTGAGTAGATTTGATGTAAGTGGTGATTAGATGTGATTAAGTGGTGAGTAGATATGATGTTAAGTGGTGAGTAGATGTGATGTAAGTGGTGAGTAAATGTGATGTAAACGTGATGTAAAGTATGAGTAGGTGTGATGTAAGTGGTGAGTAGATATGATGTAAAATGTGAGTAGGTGTGATGCAAGTGGTGAGTAGGTGTGATGCAAGTGGTGAGTAGATGTGATGTAAGTGGTGATTAGATATGATTAAGTGGTGAGTAGATTTGATGCAAGTGGTGAGTAGATGTGATGTAAGTGGTGATTAGATGTGATTAAGTGGTGATTAGATGTGATTAAGTGGTGAGTATATGTGATGTAAGTGGTGATTAGATATGATTAAGTGGTGAGTAGATTTGATGTAAGTGGTGATTAGATGTGATTAAGTGGTGAGTAGATATGATGTTAAGTGGTGAGTAGATGTGATGTAAGTGGTGAGTAAATGTGATGTAAACGTGATGTAAAGTATGAGTAGGTGTGATGTAAGTGGTGAGTAGATATGATGTAAGTGGTGAGTAGGTGTGATGCAAGTGGTGAGTAGGTGTGATGCAAGTGGTGAGTAGATGTGATGTAAGTGGTGAATAGATGTGATGTAAGTGGTGAATAGATGTGATGTAATTGGTGAATAGATGTTATATAAGTGGTGAGTAGATGTGATGTCGTCATTCCAAGACTTTGTGGTAGAACTCAAGTTTTACATTTTATATTTAACCCGGATGATAGAATAATGTTTCTATTTTATAAATTGATCGTGGGCCCTTAAAATAAAAGAAGAAGATATTATTGATGATGTCACAATTCAGCTAATTTTTTACACTTATCTGAAATAAAAACGAAAGGATTGTATGGAACTATCATATGTCTCTCATAATCAAGTATATCGCCTGACATTTGAATCACAATAAAGTGTCTAACCTGACATTTGACTCTTAAAATAATAAATCTTCTAACCTGACTTATAATAATTAATAAATTGTATCATCTGACATACGACTTATCGTAAATTGTATCATCTGACGAATGACTTATAATAAAATGTCTCACCCTGGCATCTGCAGCATTGTCCAACACCAATTCGACCTCTTTCCATTTAGGCTCTTGTTGACCACCCACTGACCACAATATTGTTTCACGGCCTGTTGACTCCACTAAAGTTAAGGAAAGATTTCCAGTAGTGGCTCCCTCAAAGAAATACCAGAAATGCAAGGTTGTATCCCCTATGATTGTAACTTTTCCACTAAACAAGCAAACATCTATTGGTCCCTGGTTCGTGTCATTGGTGATGTCAATGAATATGTAATTACCGGAACTGGACAGATTGCCTAAAAAAATCAAAGAAAAGTTACTTAATCTCCTTTATGGTCAATTAATACGATATATTATGAAGTCCAAATAAAAAAAGAATACATAAATATTTTTATTGTAATGGCAAAGATATATTGACCATTATCTGATTATATCATTTTCAATTTCAATAGATTTTAAGTCTGAAAACTGTGTAGATTTGTAGAAATTTTGACCTTTAGAAAGTTGTAGTTAAAACGTTGTTCCTCTGAATAGCCATTAATAGTTCAATGGTTCTAGAGATTGAAAGAACCAGTTTTCAGCTTCTACTGACATGTTTAAGGAAGGTTTAAAAAAAAAAAAAAAAAGCTGTAAATTTCGTTGTCATAACTTTGATCGAGGAATTTTCACTGTTGAGAAAATTACATTAATAAACATATCAATATGAATGGCTTTTGGTGGAGGGCAATATTACTACGATAGGTTAGATCAAATTTAACTACTCATGACTCATAGTATGTTCAGAAACATGTCGAGGTAAAAAAAAAAAAATCAGGTAATGTAATTAATTAAGTATCACTCAATAATGTAATAATGTGTTTAATACGATGATCGTATACCTGAATGACTCGTGCGCGCGTTGCTAATTTCCCACTGGTACATTTCCTTGGATACCTTACTATTCGTGGCACCACATGGACCGGTGGACCATGAGCAAGAACCATTCTCAAAATTACAAGATATGTCTCTGTTTGGGGCTAATGTTAACAGGTTCATGGCGGTTGTTGGTGAAAACACTGTTTTATTTGTTGGTGGGATGGTGGCTGCTGTTGTCGGGTTGATTGTTGTTATTGGGAATATCCTTCTAGTTGATGTTAGGGTAGTAATTGTTGTTGGAGAAGTTGTTGTAGTTGTGAGGGTAGTTGTTTTTGCAGTTTTTTGTGTGGTTGTTGTAGTAGGGGCAGTTGCAGTTGTTGAAGTTTTAATTATTGGAGTAGTTATAAAGGAAGTTATTTTTGTTGGGATGGTTGCTGTTGTTGTGCTAGTGGTTTTTGTTGGGGTTGTAGTTGTTGTTAAGGTGGTTTTTGCTGTTGGGGTGGTTGTAGTTGTTGTTGTTGTTGTTCTTGGTTTGGTTGTTGTTGTTGTTGTTGTTGGTTTGGTTGTTGTTGTTGGTTTGGTTGTTGTTGTTGGTTTGGTTGTTGTTGTTGGTTTGGTTGTTGTTGTTGTTGTTGTTGGTTTGGTTGTTGTTGTTGGTTTGGTTGTTGTTGTTGGTTTGGTTGTTGTTGTTGGTTTGGTTGTTGTTGTTGGTTTGGTTGTTGTTGTTGTTGTTGGTTCGGTTGTTGTTGTTGGTTTGGTTGTTGTTGTTGGTTTGGTTGTTGTTGTTTGTTTGGTTGTTTTTGTTGGTTTGGTTGTTGTTGTTGGTTCGGTTGTTGTTGTTGGTTTGTTTGTTGTTGTTGGTGTGGTTTTTGT